CCATGGGATGGGCAGGGGGGTCCCGAGGGGGTCCCAGGGGTGTTGTGGGGGAACTGTGCCACCCCCAGTGCCACCCCAAACCCCCCAGGGCCACCTCAAACCCCCCAGTGCCACCCCAAAACCCCCAGTGTCATCCCACAACCCCCCAGTGCCACTCAATTCCGCCCAAGAGGGGTCCTGGGGGCTGAGGGGTGTCCCTGGGAGGGGAGGGGAGTTCAGGGGGGGTTCAGATGTTCCACAGGGCCCCGAGGGTTTGGGGGGGTCTCAGAGGACATAGAAACTTTCAGAAGTGTTGGGGAGATGCTGCAGGTTTGGGGGGCTCTCAGGGGGGGTTCAGAGCACACAGAAATTTCAGGGAGTGTTGGGAGCTGCTGTGGGTTTTGGGGGGTCTCAGAGCCCACAGAAATCCCAGGGACTGTTGGGGAGATGCTGCAGGTTTTGGGGGTCTCAGGGTGGGTTCACAGGACACAGAAATTTCAGGGTCTGTTGGGTTTGAGGCCTCTCAGGAATTTCAGGAAGTTTTGGGGGGGCCCTGTGAGTTTGGGGTCTCTCAGGGTGGCTTCAGAAGACAGAAATCCCAGGGACTGTTGGGTTTGGGGTTCTCAGGGTGGGTTTAGAGGACAGAAATTTCCCTGACTGTTGGGTTTGGGGCTCCCAGGGTGGGTCAGAGCACACAGAAATGCCAGGAAGCTCTGGGGGAGGTGCTGTGAGTTTGGAGGGTCTCAGAGCACACGGAAATTCCAGGGACTTTTGGGGTTTGGAGGGGTCTCAGGGTGGGTTCAGAGCACAGAAATCCCAGGGACTGTTGGGTTTGTGGCTCTCAGGGTGGCCCAGAGCACACAGAAGTTTCCCTGACTGTCCCTTGGTGTCTCTAGGGTGGCCCAGGGCACACAGAAGTTTCCCTGACTGTCCCTTGGTGGCTCTAGGGTGGCCCAGAGCACACAGAAGTTCCCCTGACCATCCCTTGGTGGCTCCCAGGGTGGCCCAGGGCACACAGAAGTTTCCCTGGCTGTCCCTTGGTGGCTCTAGGGTGGCCCGGAGCACACAGAAGCTCCCCTGACCGTCCCCTGGGGGCTCGCAGGTCCCACCTGTGCCCGCTGGAAGAAGTGGGGCAGGTGTTTCATGGCGTTGCCCCTCACACACGCCACGTTGCCGAAGCGGCCGGGCTGCGCCGCCCGCAGCGCCCGTTTAGAGGACAGAAATTTCCCTGACTGTTGGGTTTGGGGCTCTCAGGGTGGGTCAGAGCACACAGAAATGCCAGGAAGCTCTGGGGGAGGTGCTGTGAGTTTGGAGGGTCTCAGAGCACACGGAAATTCCAGGGACTTTTGGGGTTTGGAGGGGTCTCAGGGTGGGTTCAGAGCACAGAAATCCCAGGGACTGTTGGGTTTGTGGCTCTCAGGGTGGGTTTAGAGGATAGAAGCTTCCCTGACTGTTGGGGTTTGTGGCTCCCAGGGCACACAGAAGTTCCCCTGACCGTCCCTTGGTGGCTCTAGGGTGGCCCAGGGCACACAGAAGTTCCCCTGGCTGTTGGGTTTGTGGCTCTAGGGTGGCCCAGGGCACACAGAAGTTCCCCTGGCTGTCCCTTGGTGGCTCTAGGGTGGCCTGGAGAACACAGAAGTTTCCCTGACCATCCCTTGGTGGCTCTAGGGTGGCCCAGGGCACACAGAAGCTCCCCTGACTTTGGGTTTGTGGCTCTAGGGTGGCCTGGAGCACACAGAAGTTTCCCTGACCATCCCTTGGTGGCTCTAGGGTGGCCCAGGGCACACAGAAGCTCCCCTGTCCCGGTGCCCCGGGCTCACCGAGCAGCCCCCCGTAGCCGCACCCCACATCTGCGAACTCCACGCGGGCCGGGGGGGTCCCGGGGGGGGCGTCGGGCGGGAAAAAACTCGGGAACAGCGAGGCCCAGTCCATGTCCTGAGGGCGGGAGGGGCTGCGGGCACCGGGGCCGTCACTGCCCGGGAACCGGAGCCGGGCACCGGGGGGGACACAAGGGCGGGGCCGGGCGGTGGGACCGGGAGGGGATGGGGAGGGGGATCCAGCCCGGCTGCTCCTGGGGGCGGCCAGATGGCCGCGGTGCCACACGGGGCCATCACGGGGGTCCCGGGGCTCTCAGGGCCGGGGGGTCCCGCCGCGGGCGCTGGGGCGGTCCCGGGACCCGGCGCGGGTGTTACCGGGGGGGATCCGGGGGTCCCCGCACTCACTAGCACAGGGTGTGGTCGGCCAGCGGGTTCGAGTGCGCGCGCTGCCGGTAGAAGCGCTTCTGTGGCGGCGCCGCGGCCTCCTCGTCCTGCTCCGCCGCCGCCATGCCGGCACCGCGCGGCGCGTACAGTGGCGTCACTGCGCGGCGCGGGGTTGTGACGTCATGGGCGAACTGTCAGTGGAGCGAGCCTTGGCTGGAGTTCACAGCTCCCCCTGGCGGCCCGGCGCTGCTCCCAGTGCTCCCAGTACAACCAGTACAACCAGTGCCCCCCAGTGTCCCCCAGTGCCCTCCCCAGTGTTCACACTGGCCCCCCAGTGCCCTCCACAGTGCCCCCAATACAACCAGTGCCCCCCAGTGCCCTCCACAGTGCTCCCAGCACAACCAGTCCCCCCAGTGCTCACACTGTCCCTCCCCAGTGCTCCCAGTGCCCCCCCCCAGTACCCCCCAGTGCTCTTAGTGCTTCCTCAGTGCTCCCAGTGTCCCCCAGTGGTCCCCAATGCCCCCAGTTTTCCCGGTGCCCTCCCAGTGCTCCCAGTACAACCAGTGCTCCCAGCTCCCCCCAGTGCTCCCAGTGCCCCTTCCCACCGCTCCGAGCTCCTCCCAATGGTCCCAGTGGCCCCTGGTGCCCCCCAGAATCCCCCCCAGTTCCCCCAGTGCTCCCAGTCCCCCCAGTGCCCACAATTCCCCCAGTTC